GTAATCGATGAACACAGTTCACAACCTCCACTTTCATTGTCTCTTTCAGTCACACCTTAATGGAGATAGAGATAGATAGATGTTCAGAGGGCTGTGATTTCTGTGTGAGCCAGTATTCCTCTATCCCACTACCTTGCTGGTAACAATTATTCCTCGAGCTGAACTGTGAAAGAACTGCTAGATATATTGTAAAAGACATGAGCACTGGAATCAGAATGATCATTTCTACCCACGAAAACGATGGGGTGGGTAGTCAAAAACTGACCAAAGTCTGTCCTTAGCTAGTAACATTTCTCTGTCGCAGTCTAGTGGCTTTCTGATAAACGTTTTTGCCAGTGATCAACTCTTGACTTAGTTTTAAAAGGTTGCATCTAGAAAGCAGGGGATTTGTTTCTTCAATTAGCTACAAAGAGAACGTGATAATTAGCAAATGTATGGCCTGGAGCATAGCCCGATGTCAAAAGGAATACCTAGAAGTTAAGCTTTATGAAGCTGTTTGTCCTCATTGAATCATTGCTTCGATTATCAGATTGGAACTACTACATCACTATACAAGGAGTCCCCATTTACATTTACACATCACTGTTGAAGGACGCGTGTGCATTTTTTGGCAAATAACTCAGTTTGTCTTCCATGGAGGTCATCAACCTACAGCACACGACGATGTGTTCGAGCATACATGAAGTTCAAAAACCAATTTCATGGCTTTCTACGTGCCACTGATTTTACTAGCTGTGAGGCTAGTCCCCCGTCGTGGATTATGCATGTAGCGGTCCACATGTATCATTGAAAAGGTACCAAAAGCCATTTTCAGAAGACCATAAAACCACTTTTGTTTCTTAGCCCGGTTAGCTCCCAGTGAACAAGTGTTTAAGATGAACCAGCAAGTGCATAAATTTAGTCTAGATGGTTTCAGTGAAAAACTCCACTGTTTCTACGACCTCCGGCAGATAATCCGCCTTTGGTATGGCAACAATACAATGGTTCGTAGAAAGAGGCAGACAGCTATGGCAGATAGCTGGAAGATGCAGTCCTATCATTAACTCCCTGCTAACGTGTACATCAGAGGATCCAGTTCGGGGCATGATACCCTAACAACTGGTTGCACGTGTATGCACCAACTGCCTGTGGGGGGGGGTATTGCTTCATACTCAGGCACTAAAATGGTCCAATGTTAACCATAGGAATAACCCAACCATATAAAAATTGTGGCAACCTCGCCAGAAATAAACTACCGTTCATACTACTCAAGATGACTGTATGGCAAGGATATCAGGATAGTTTGGCTCATCTTATGGATAGTTTTAGTCCGAGCACTTCGGTCTTAAACTATACAAGCCAAAGTAGTTTTTCAAGTGCTTTTTCTGCTTTCCAGCCAATGATCGGTATATTCATACATGAATGAGAGAGCTTATTTACAGAGAGCCAAATTTGAACATGAAAAAAATTAAGGACATCTAAGCATTTTTCTACCGTAAATTCGCCTGTGAACAAGCAGTGTCTTTTGATAAGTTTCTACGAGAACACCCATGCTCTTTCCCATTTCGATGAGTTTACTGTTACTTTGGACTTGAAATTTTCCCCCCACACTAACATTAAATAGTCCAATCGGACAGTTGAATCAAGTCTGTCGTGCTGAACTGCTGATCAGTTGGTGCCTGGCTCATTTGCGATGCTAAATGTTCGAACCTCGATATAGAGTTTACAAACGACACCTCAAAGTTGATCGACCAACTTGCATTGCATGTGAACTGAACAATGGGTGACAAACCGATGGCACGCGACGAGTTGTAGTTGCGCACGGCATGGTTGTCGGCGTCACAAAGAAACACAATCGTGCAATATCGTTTCTAAAGACAAGCATTTGCAGTTTTTTGTTCAGTTTTGAGCAGCTTCTGTCTGTAAATTTTTGTTCAGGCGACGACTGTTCTTTAATGAATGCGAATGATCCAGGGCAGTAATCAGAATTGCTTAATTCTGGAACCAAAAAATTCTAGTTTGTGATGCAACTTGTTTTGTTTGCTTCATTAACATTCCATTTTTCGCGAACCTCCATAAAACGTCCTCGGATTCTGTCTACACATGAGCAGACATTTACTAGATTGCGTTTTTTCGCTGTTGAAAATATCCGTAGTTCCAAATTCCGTGAGCTACGCTGAAACAACTTCCTGATTCAAATCAAGATATAGTCATTCAACTAGGGTCACCTGTGCTGAGAAGATAAGAATCACTGTTAGACAAAGAATGCACGTGTACCACAAACCACTGCTGAGTAGATGAAGTTCCTTTGATCGTTCTTAAGAGGGTTTGGGCCGTTTCACTGAATTTTTGTTTCGATCCTTTCATGCCAAGCAAAGTGAAGCATGAAAATGGCTCTCACGGGACAGTTATACTACAATTGGTTGTTCTTGCTCACCTTGGCGTTAGCTTTCTCATGTCACCGCCCAAATGCACTCTTTTTAATGCAACATTAACTCGAGGTGACGTACTAGAAGTGGGGGCGGAAATTTTACCCACGAACACTGCCAACTGTTACACTAGGATTTTTTGCTTAGCCAGACGTCAAAGCCCATCAAGCTGAAATGAGTGTGCCGATGAGCCTGAAGCCATTTCGCTTGACTGCCCTCTACACAGAGCTGCACTTGCCCGCAGTTATTGGCCTGCGTAACAGGCACGGCAGCTTTAGATGTACACAACACGTTAACGGCGAGGGTAAATCAACTAAACTCTACAATCGAGAGCACTGTATGGTCAAAACCTGTGCAGAAAAGAATGAGCGAAAATTCCGACGAGCTCTGGAGACATAAGAAAGGCAAAATTGTCTGCGATACATTTAATCAGATTACTTAAGATCCATCATACTGATTCGACAGCTGATCTAACAGGAGGACCTTCATGTCCGTGCTCAGTTTGTACTTTTGCTTAGGGGACCGTTGTATCTAGGACGAAGTAGAATAACTCAAGATCAAAATTGAGGATGCGGTTAGTGAATTAGCACAGAGAAGTGATTTACTACGTTTCGATGGGGTACTTAACTCTTATAGGCAAGAAAAAGGTCTTCCACAGTATGTTTTAACTACTGGGTCGCTGGGTCGCTGGGTTGGCGCTACTGTCAGGGGGACGGTATTAAGAACTCTAATAAGTCAGGTGAGAAATGGACATATCGAAGAAGTTACGTGAGCTAGGAGCAACCATCTTATTGTTATGTGTGGTGTTTCCCAAAAAAAAACTTGCTTTCACCTTCGAGAAGGTTCACATACTCGATTGAAGAATCTGTGTTGCGTAGCCCAATGTGTCCAGTTCACCACAACGCCTGTAAAACATGCTCATTTACGAAATATTCTTCGCCTGACAGCTGAGCACTTTTGGATGTTGGCAATACTAGGTCATGCACGTCGATCATATTGAGCCGGGCTATATGGTGTTTAGATTCAAATGTAGAATTTTCAAAAACTACTCCAAGGGCTTTGGTGCGAGTTCATTTTAGAATTCGGAGGGTCTTGCAGCTGAGATTTCTTTGACTTGTCCAGCAGAGAGTGGTTAAGGATATATCCGAATGTGACTCTGCAGGACCTCCTCCAAATATGCAAACCTTTCAAGCTAATTGCACCTGTCTCCATACTTTGTGCCCATCTAACGGAACCGTTTGCTTGTTCCGTTCTTGCTGCTTCAGTGTTGCTGTCGCCAACGATGTCCAGAAGAAGGCATGTTTCCGGCAGACTTCGATTTAATACCACCGCCTGTGACTACAGTGAAAAACACAATTGGACAAGCCAACTGGAGCCTGCTCGACTAATTCGAATCATCGCGGTTTCCTCAGACGATTACAATAATTTGTGTACAATGCTGGAATTTAGAGCTCATATGCATATCTACTATACGACTGATGGCAATGAGGTAAGTGGCATTTTTACATCACTATATCTGTGTCAAATCTTGAATTGGCCTCTTCTGCAACGTTTTCCATAGTTTTGAGGATGAACCGTCTAAAGGCATTACCAGCCTCCATAGAGACCAGCCCGTCTGGACCCAAAGCAGATGGAGTCGCCTGTGCATATTTCAATTCGATGTCGGTCCAAATAACTAGCCATAATTCTCCGAGACACACGGAATGCAGTTTGTTGATCCATGGTGTTCACTGGTTCACAACCTATCTTTTGTCCTGTCAAACTACTGGTGTTGGCTCTCATTAGAATAACTTGCTTTGAAAAACTAATTTGGTTGAACCTTTCACATAAACTAACTCCATTTTTAGACCGTATTACCAGGTTTCTCTGTTAATTAAATCTTTGTCCTGGGTCTTTAGGTGGACTGCAACATATTCAATATGATCTCCTTAGCCTATCACTGATTGGCACATCGAGTGTTGCTGAGGTACCTGTGACAATCGCGCATACTCTGATCCCCGTTTTGTTAAAACAGACCAATACAGTTGCTCTTCCCCAGTCTGCAGGCTGGGATGGATGAAAGGTCGTTTGATATAAATCCACGTCCGTTGTGTACCTCTGGGTAGATGTCGAAAGCATGGCAACAGCAATTACAGTAAGTATGTAGCCTCAGTAAAAGGCTGGCCAGACACTCGTGTCCGAACGGCATAGTTCTCTTCTTTAAATCAGATTGTCCTGGGTCCCTTTACCCATCGTTATTTGCGATAATGAAGCCCCGAAAATATGAAACAGGTGTCCAGTTTTTCTGGGTTTTCAGCATTGTTTAACTTCATCTCATGGAGGAAATATTGATTACGATCTCAAAATTCGATACCAACACTTAAGTTTTTACCCTTGGTCAGTTAATTTATAGAAATAAGCTTATGGTCGGTTGGAGCAATATCCATAAATTATACTTACTGGTGGTCGTTGGCTTGTTCGCTGAGCTGGGCAGTTTGATTGCAAACGTTTCATTACCAATCGAGGTGACATCATCAGTGCGTTGTTGGGGAGCGTAGTAGTGCGTAGCGGTACGCACTACGCAGTACTACGCTCCCCAATAACGCACTGATGATGTCACCTCGATTGGTAATGAAACGTTTGCAATCAAACTGCCCAGCTCAGCGAACAAGCCAACGACCACCAGTAAGTATAATTTATGGATATTGCTCCAACCGACCATAAGCTTATTTCTATAAATTAACTGACCAAGGGTAAAAACTTAAGTGTTGGTATCGAATTTTGAGATCGTAATCAATATTTCCTCCATGAGATGAAGTTAAACAATGCTGAAAACCCAGAAAAACTGGACACCTGTTTCATATTTTCGGGGCTTCATTATCGCAAATAACGATGGGTAAAGGGACCCAGGACAATCTGATTTAAAGAAGAGAACTATGCCGTTCGGACACGAGTGTCTGGCCAGCCTTTTACTGAGGCTACATAAGAACGAAATCTGGATTCATATTTCAAAACTGTTTATACCTAAGTTAAACTGTAAGTCACCTGCTCATAAAGGAAAACATCTCACACACCAATCGGCACGGTCGGCACATGCAACGTGTGAACGGAGGACGATTGATGTTACATTCTGTTCGATGACGAGTTAATCACACCGCTCAGCAGCCGCTAATGGCCAAGCAGTATGAACCTCAACTACAAACCGGAATGTCGCGCTTGTGAATCCCCCAATCGATTGCAATCGATTTTTCTCGACAATGTGCTGCTGTGCTCTGTGATGTGTAGACTGTATAGATCTGAATATCACCTACTCAGCGCACAGCTTTTGCAGAAGGATGTGATAGAAAAAATTCCACTAGTAAGAACAAGGTTTCATTACCGTATCAGTAAAAAATGAGACTAAATTTCAATTTTTGTGGCCGTACAAAACTAGTAAAGTAAATAAACTGACCAGCCTACTCTGCTTTTTGGGAATCTTTCACGGAATAGCCCCATCGGCTTGCTTTAGAGCAGCAGCATCAATAAATGCTAGCTGACTGTAATGCTGAGGTTAAAAAGTATTGTTTATATGGGGATGAGATGAGCTGACATTTTTCATGACTCCATTTGCCTACCATTATCGTCCAGATGCACACTGTCCACGTAGCAACAATGTTGAGAATCATGAATAATTCCCTCAAAAGCACACCTCATGAAGACTTGCTCCAGCTGCTTCTTCTTTCCATCAATACTCTATCGAGTAAAAAGACAAACATTTGCCTTAAAACTGAGATAGGAAAGCCGATGCAGTTTATCAAGTCACAAATATTGCCTGTTGCTGCCTGGCAACTGATACGTTAGTAAGTAAAAGTAATATATTTTGGAAATGGGTGACTGACATCCCTCACGTTCTTGACAGACTAAAACGCCTTTGGGACCACATGCGAAAACTTTTCTTCAGAATGTTTCTAGAGGCGACTTGGCCAGGGCATTATATGGAAGACTGAACATGTTGACAGTAACCCTTGCGGCCTGAATAAGTTTGTGCGTGTTCGGAAGGCTCTGCACTTAAGTCGATGTTGTGCCAGTAGAACAGATTCACTCTGATATTCGCATCAACACTGCCGGCTAGTTTAAGGAATGGTTATGTTTCGAACCCTCTTTTTACTATGGTCTGTCTCGTACTTCATTTTCAAAACTTGGATTCATCAGACAGGGTAGTATTCATCGTTCTGTTTTATTTGTCTGTTTTTTTTGGTGATTTTCTGCGGTACTTTGGTGACAGAGTTCAACGGCCACACGTCGACATCTCCTGTCGGTAACTCTGTCGATCCCCACCTAGTTTATAGGGGTGCAAAATATTGGTCAGTCAACAACTAGCCAAAAGAATCGTTGCACACTTCTAAAAGTATGATTTGTATCAGGCTTCCCAAAGGCTTCGCATCAGTATTCTTTACGCGTGTATGATAGTCCCTCTCAGGAACATGAAATGTTCTTCTCTTCGAAAAGGATTCATTCCCAGAAGGAGATCAGTCCAAAGTCCTTTAGAGAGCCTCGATAGTTGAATTAAAAGATATTTGAAAGAAATGCTACAAGCAGCCTTTGCCTACCGTGTTTCTTATCATTTTTGAGCATTTTTGAACATTTTGAACATCTGAAAACACATCCCACTGCTGCTGTCTTGCTGAGATCACGAATCACCTTCATATATTACATTCAGTTTGCCCAAGTCCTCTCCTGTATCGGCTTTGTTTTCCTCTTGAATCCGCACAAATTGGTCTTCGGACTTGAAAACACTAGGTTCACTAAAAGTTATTCCAAGTCACTAGTTTCCGATTCGGTGCACATATCACTTGTGCTGAAGTTGCAGTGTCTAGTTGGTGAAACAAAGATCTGCTGGCCAAAGAACTCCAAGGCATCTAATAATTGCCCATAGTAATATAAATATAGAGCATGATTATGTACTTGGATAAAGGGTTAGAGTTGAGGCTTGTACTCACTGAACAAGGAATGTGTAACAAAAATTGGTAGCTGTAGTTTGGTTTTACGAATTGATCGAGTTCCGAATCAAAGGAGAGGGAGATGCATTTTAATTGAAGCTTTGCTGAGTTAACCGTAAGCTAACTTGGTACAGTTGTCCGGAATCACACAAGCTCTTTTGTTTTGCCGAATCATTTTGTTATTGGGCCGACTAAGCCACTCCTTGAAGAACTCCTTCATACTCAAGGTTTTATTGGTAGTTTGGCCGCAAGAGTTAACCACTGCAATTATCGCTAGTAGGCGTTTCACCGCTATGATCGAACACACTGTGATTCTGTCGTAATCATATCCCCCAAGGGAAACAAATTTTTTCTGCGTTGCCCGTTTCGAGACTCCCTACTTGGTTCCACTTTATCCAACCAATGCTGGACACTTTGGATTGAAAAGATCTGTTATAATTATCAGCCCGCAGGTAACTACACCACTGTAGTATGCTCTGAGTTTGCCTTATTATCAATGTAGACATCTGATCACACTGTGCTGAGAACAAACAAATTAATTTCTATTGACATGACGAGCGTGAAGTAAATACATTGGAGTAAATTGTAACTCTGATGATTTAGTATAGTTACCCTGAGAGCCAACCCCGCTATTAACGATGACTAGAAGTCTAAAAAGTGCAAAATATGTGTTAAATACAGTGACCGGTCTAAGTATGTGATTCTTCCCGCGCGGTGCTGGATGCAGGTTCACAACTATCATCCGTCACACACTGTAGAGCCCGGCACCGAATAGCTTCTCTTGGGGAAACACACATGAGCAGGTTTTAAAGCACATGACACGCAAAGCAATTAAAAGTACATAACTGTTGCAAAACAATAAATTCATCGTTTTTCGCACCACCACTGCGTTATTCTCCAGCCCTAGCCAGAACCACCCGATCAAACGTTGATCCGGGCATTCTGGTTACCACTAAAGCCGACTTTTCTTAATTGGACATCGTGTAATGAAAAACGCGTAGGCGCACTAGCCTGAGAGTCTCCGTTTTATTAGATCGCATATTTAGCATACTCACAGATGTTGCAGCAGTCAGTTCACCGTCTAAAGCAATCACATGTAGTCAAATTTTTGTTGGCACTGGTATTGTTGCTATTTGCTTACTGGACATACCACAATAAAAAGCATGTAACCACGCCCTCGTAAATCTCACACACATGTCATACTTGTGACTTGTATGCAGTTCATCTTTTCAGTTGCACATGATAGGACGCGGTGAGTGCTGACGATCCGAATCAAAATTATCTGTTGTAGATGGTTCTCTCTGAGGCGTACAGCATCAAAGTACCTTGGATAAACCCCGCGCAACATGTCCCCGACCTAAAGCAGACTCTAGTTTGAAACAAGTGTTTGTGTGCACATACCTTAGAAACAGACGGCTTTCGTCTAATTAAAGGCTATGACGGTTATGTAGACCTTATCAGACGATCACAGTTAAGTAATCTCTGAGTGCGTGAGTCGTGACACGCTCCTACCTGGCAGTGGAAAAAGACCGATTAATACGACTTCTGTCCGCGTGCGACCTAGCGACCGCATCAGTGTATATCTGTGACCAAGGTCGTTGTCTCAGCGTTTGTTCTACTCGAAATGTTGGTTTCGCTTGGTGTTAGGTAGCAGTAAGAGAGTAGTTAAAAAATCAGACTGCGCATTCGCGCCAAGTTTATAGGGAATACAGGTTTATCGGTTTTGAACATTTTACTTCGAGTAAGGAGTTCGAAAATCTTGACCTCTAAGTAGCTTAACTCAGCTTCTTCCAACTATCTATCCTTGCGGTACAAATGTACATCCGGGGAGTCAGTTGGACTGCATTCGTGTAGAGGGTCTGGGCCGACACAGCTGACGTTCAGTGATACGTTCGGCCAAGGCGGCATCGTTATACCTCAGCAATGCTGAAGCATAATTGTCACCATTCTTGAATCTTAAGATGAAAATTACAATTTTTGGATATCGGTATTTACTGGATGTTGTCAACTGTAGTGGATAAGCTCACACTTTTTTAAGGAGGCACCACTTTGGCTGACGTAAAGTATACCAGACCGTTCAGTACGAGACTAACTTTGGGACTTGTAGATAGAATGGACATTTCTCCTGCCGAATAACAATCTCAGGCCATAAATATTCTTGACTGAGCGTCTACTGATGCAATTCTTGGTCTAACCTGCTTCTGATCTTAATTTTACAACGTCTCACGTTTAAACTTCTATCCGGACAATTCAAAATTACATTGGTAAATGGCACAATTACTCTCAGAATGCCTTTAAATTATCTTACTTAGAGAGTAATACTTAAGTTAAAGAGATATAGTTTAAATAGTCATCTGATTACCGGCAAATGGTCATTCAGCCGTGTATAAAACCTGAGGATTCCCGAGAACCACACCAAAAATTCTACATACCAGCTGCACAAACTGGACGTAAATGTGTTTAATAAGTTGAACCCTGAGTCGGAATCTCACGTGTCTCGTCCTTCTGTGCTCATCTTTTGGGTTCAATAAGGACGAAAGTTTGGCTGATTTGCCGAATCCAACACTGATCTTGAATATCCGGCAAAATTTGAAGCTCGAGGCTTGCAGGTTGTCCGATCTTCCCTGTGGATCTGTGGCCTGCACTCGTAGATGGAAGAACAGTGGGTTGTCAACAAGCTGACACCACCCGATGAACGCTTTTACCTTTTTACATCAGAAAAAAACCTTCGTCATATTAAGGGGTAATATAGAACTTGCTCACCAGAGTTCGATAGGTGGTACGCCTCCTGAGAACATTCGGGAAGGGTATAAAGTCTAACGTTGATTGAACCCCCACTTCGGCCATACTTGCTGGGAGGCGCGTAATACTTAGCTTTTTTGCAAACGTTATGTGAAATGTCTTTTTGGTCAGTTTGCGTTTAACTACGAATATGCATACCGAGGCGTCCTGATTCATCTCGAATTAGTTGATTCTACGATCTAAAATGCCTCCATCTCTGCTGATCATACCTGTGAATTCCGCAACTGTTTCAGTCTAACTTCATTTTTTGTCCGTAGATTGACTGTCATCATTCAAGCTCTCTTCATCTTAAGACCACTGTTTTATTTTGCCAAGGCGTTCACTTCCAGCAAATATTTTTAGCTTGTTTTCCTCTTCGAAGTATTTCTGATTGCAATTCATCTCCGTGAATAAATATAGGCTTAGCGAATCAGTGTGCAGCATTCCTTCTATTCTTACGGGATGTACCCTGTTGACTACGTCAAACCCAGTTCCAACGGCTGAAGCAGCTGAACCTTCACGTATTTACTTCAATGGTTCTTTTCTTTTTCCGATGTCTTAGTATTGCTGACAGCTTTTTCTATTGATTCGCATACCATTCACAGCTGAAATTGTGGCCAATGTACTAAGAAATCCGATAGGCTTCCACTTACCAGTAGGTACTTCGCCTGATGCCGAAATGAGGAAATTCATTTGAAACCTATCAGTGATTCGTTAGGTGGGACCACTTACAAGGCAAACAATGGTATTCCAAAAAAGCTGTGGTTATTATGTTCCTGAAAATAGCCCCGAAAACAGAAAACTATTGGCTATTGGGTTTATAGCCTGATCTATGTTCCACCTACTATTTCGAGGCTTTGTTTGAGGCTTTCCTCGTTGTAAACATTTCCACAATAGAGGAGTTCTGATACCAGTCCAATGCGGTATCGTGGGTGAGTAGAAGTGTTCAACAAATTATGTTACGAAGAACTTCGTCGTTGACAAATTTGCATGCGTAAACGATAAGAATTCGAAGCATCAATCATAAATTTGGCATGCAGATTCTGGTACAGATCCCGATCCCCTCGCTTATCAAACAGAAATCCACAGGCCTAAACCAAAAATATGCCAGTTTAGCTGGACGATTGTAGCTTCTTGTTTTTTTTCGCCCAGAGAGGAACCTATTCTTGGTCCTAGTCTACTCACTTTACGAATAAGTCTCGCATTCGAATAATGGCCAGAGCAGAAAGGCGCCCCGTCACGACAGCAACCATCGCTTATTTGAGACCGGAATTCTGCCGGGAGATCGTAACCCTGATTAGATCACTAGTTTCTTGCACCTGAGGTCATGATTACCATAATTACGCTTGTGTGCCTGTTCATGCAAATTGTAGGAAAGCAAAATATTCTGTTAATTATATATTCGACAGCTTGATTGTCACCAAATGGTATTTGGTTGTCCTTCAAGCTTGTTCAGAATTTCGGTCGAGAGGACATCCACCGATTCGAAGACAACAAGGAGTACCCAGGTGTTCTAATGAAAGATGACGTGCATAAATTATTTAAATCAATCTAAGTTAGTTAGCAAAACTGGTTTTCCTCTTTACAGACGGAGTGTCACTCAGTCCCAGTTGAACTCAAGGCTTCAGAACCTTCAGCTAATTTTGGAGCAAAGATACTTACTCCAGCCACGCTTATCAACGACTCGTGGCATCTCATAGACAAGGAACGCAAACAACGTCATCGGGTACCAGAATCTCACCCAGCCGTTATCAGGATTGTGACCACCGAACCAAAATGTTGCACGAATTCTATCCGCTGTTTTTCCGTCCCATTGGCGGGTGGTGCCGTGGATAATGATGCTCTTGATGGTTGGAGACTGAACTTTACTTGGCTCCGAACTCCCGAATCTTATGAAACGGGAGAAGAAGGGTGGAGTAGTGTGGGTGCACCGATAGGAAGTCTATCTGGCGTGTACGATATGGTCCGCGTCACGCTGCTCTACACGCCTCAGTTCGAAAGTGAGTCCAACACAGATGCAATAATATTTCGTGAAATCGTGCGATACAAGTTGGTGACTAACTGTAGTTTATCTGTTCGAACGGGATCAACACGACGGACTCGCCCTATCGATTGTGCCTTGGATCCGCAGACGAGCCACAACCGGGCGGATTGTGGTTTTTTCGAAGGCAATTTAAATGAATTGAAAGTTACTTCAGCTACTTACTATTTCTGAAGTAGTGCGCATGTCCCAAGAAAAGTTCACCTGGCTTCGGCCACCAGTTGATAAAATCTGGGGTCACTGTGCATCCTGAAATCTCACCATTGCGTTCAGTGAATCTCAACGGAGTTTGTAAAACGGATCAGGGGTACTGAAGTTGCAACTTCAGGAATTCCTGGAGAATACACCGTGTTTATGTGGAATCCAGCGGCAGCTTTCTTCCGCTCATAAAGTATTATAACTTCACATGTATACATTAGGTCATTGAACCAAAAATTTCACTAATTACATGTCGAAACGATCATCGTTCCAATCTTCAGGGTGCTATCAAAAGGAAGAAGGCCTTCCTGCGTAGTTATTTATTAGAAAATGCCAACTGAACAGTTACAGACTATTGGATGGGAGTACGGCAGTGAAGCATCGGTGTTGAACACTGATGTCATACTGTCGATGATGATGATGATTGGATGGGAGCAAAACTCTCATGTGCACCTTGTTTACAAAACTGAACAGGTAGGCACAGTCCCTGGCTTTCCGTCAACCTTATGTTCTACTTGAAACCAAATTGCACGAAATTAGCGAATATACACTCATCTGCAAACTAATTTGGTTCTTTCGAGAGACTCACCTGGAACCCAGCTGAATCTCTCGTTTATGATGTTCTCAGGCAACTGAATGTGCTGCACCAGGCCGCGTCATGTTTCAGTCGCTTCGATGTTTGAAATATCGCGATACATGTATATTTGTAATGTACT